GATTCATGATGAAAAATTGCTATCCACCTTCAGAGAGAGAACTGATGAGTTTTGAGTGCAAATTGAAGCATAATTTTCTCACTTTTTATTTTTCTTGCTTTTTTTGTAAATAAGACTAATTTGGAAATGTTCTGCATGATATCACATGTATAACTGATACATTGCTTGCCTTCTCAAAGGGTAGAGGAGGGGATAGGGAGAATTTGGAACTCGAAATTTAAAAAGAAAAGAATGTTAAAAACAAACAATAATTAAATTTTTTTTTAAAAATTGTTTACCAGACTGTGATCCTAATATAAATTGCATCAAATAACTTTTGATGGGTAAAAAAGCAAAACAAAACACTGTCAATCCTCTTCTTCTTGATACTTTCTTCTCTCTAGGTTTTTATTACTGTTCTCTCCTGATTCTCTTCCTACCTGTCTAAAGCTCCTTCTCACTCTCTTTTGTTGGATCTTCATTTAGTTTATATCCAATAACCCTAAGTGTTTTCTAAGGCTCTCTCCCCAAGCCTTCTTCCCTTCTCTTTCTCTACACTATTTCTCTTGGCTCTCCCATGGATTCAATTACCATCGCTATGCAGATGGTTCTCAGATCTATTTAGCTAATCCTAATCTCTCACCTGAATTCTGGTCTCACATCCCCAACTGCTTCTTGGACATTTCAAACTGCATGTCCCATATCTTAAACTCAATATGGCCAAAACTTAATTCACTATCTTTCCTATTCTCCCCTTTTCCCAACTTCCCTATTATTGTCAAGGGCACAACCAACCCCTTAATTATTTACACTTACAACCTAGGTGTTATCCTCAACTCAACTCTCACTTATCCCGCATATCCAATCTGTTGCCAAGATCCATCTATTCTGCCTTTGTCACATCACTGATATATTGTCTCCTTTACTCCTTCAATGCTGCTGCTGCCCTGATACAGACTCTCATCGCCTGAACTATCGCCTGGACTATTGGTCTCCCTGCCTCATCTTTCCCCATTCTATTCTATCCTCCACCCAGATAACAAAGTAAAATTCATAAAGAGTAGGTCTAGCCATGTCACCCCCTTCCCCTACTCAATAACTCTAGTAGCTTTCTATTATCTCCAATATCAAATATAAATTTCTCTATTTGGCTTTCAAAGCCCTTCATGATCTGGCCTCTTCCTACCTTTCCAGCCTTCTTATATTTTACTCCCTCCAAGATTCAGTGACACTGGCTTTTCTCGATGCTCCTTACACACCACACTCCATCTCCTGACTCCATGTCTTTTCATAATGCCTATCCCCAGGCCTGAAACGCTTTCCCTCTTCATCTCTGCCTCCTTTCTCCCCTGACTTCTTTCAAGACTCAGCTCAAATTCTGCCTTCTGCAAGATGCTTTTCCTGGTCCTCACCCAGTCCCAATGCTAGAGCCTTCCCTCTGAGATTACCTCCAACTTAATATATATACACATATATTCATATGTGTATGTTGGTGTGTATGCATATGTATGTGTACATATATTTGTATATATGTGTATATGTGTACATAGTAGTTTGCATGTTGTCTCTCCATTGAAGTATGAGCTCCCTGAGAAGAAGGACCATTTTTGCCTTTCTTTGTATCTCCAGGACTTAACACAATGCCTGGCACATAGTAGATGTTCCATAAATGCTTGTTTACTTGTTAACTAGACTTGACTATTTACTACTTGTGAAAGGCTGCAGCCCTGCACAAGTAATTTAACCTTTCTGCACCTGTTTCTTCATTTGTAGACATTGGACTAGATAACAATAAAAATATAGCTAGCATTTATATGGTACCTACTACTACTACTAAGAATCCCTTCCTAAATCACTTGTATAACTCAATGAAACTTTGAGCTAAGCTGTGCAGGGTTATCTAAGATGGACAGATGCCAGTGAAGAGTTCTGACAAAAGGTGACCCACTAGAGAAAGAAATGGCAAACCACTCCAGTATCTTTACCAAGAAAATCCCATGGACAGATCAGCTTGGACAGATTCCAGGAGACAGTGGAAGACAAAAGGTCCTGGCATGCTGTGGTTCATGGAGTGACAAAAAGTTGGACACTACTACATGAGTGAACAACAACAACTATTACTAAGAATAAAAGCACTTTTATTTAGCACTACGTGCCTAAACACTTTATAATTATTATCTCTTTTGGTCCTCACAACAACCCTGGGAGGTAGGTGCTAGTTATTATCACCATTTTACAGTTAAGGAAACTGAGGCAGATAGAGGTTATATGACTTGCCTAGGGTCACACTGCTAGTAACTTGTCTGAGGTCAGATTTTAATTCCAGTTTTTCTAACTCCAGGCATAGATGATCTTTAAGATTCCTTCTAGTTTTAAATTCTATGAACTCTCTCTCTTCTGTATTTGGCAACCTCCCTGTGGTCTAATCAAGGCATAATTTGGCAATTTTTCCACACCAGACCAGCCTAATTTGACAAAAGCTTAGGGAAAAAGAAACAGGGTAGATCTTTCTGTTAACCTCAGATAAATTAAGTGCAAGGCTTTTTGTTTGTCTTTTGTTTTTGCAGATCCTATGGAAATTGGCAGGCCTGGGAATTAATTTTAGTTAACTAGACTAGTTAAACCCCACTGAAGTCATCTTCTGATGCTTCATAGTAGGTGAGCCAGGATTCTTTTTTTTTTTTTTTTTTTGGCTAGGCAGTGGGGTTAAGTGACTTGCTCAGGGTCACACAGCTAGTAAGTGTTATGTGTCTGAGGCCAGATTTGAACTCAGGTCCTCCTGAATCCAGGGCCAGCGCTCTATCCACTGTGCCACCTAGCTAACCCGAGCCAGGATTCTTTAAGGAAAAAGAGCAGGTGGGTGGCACAGTGGATAGAGTTCTGGACCTGGAAACAGGAAGAACTGAGTTCAAATTTGACCTCTGATATTTACTAGCTCTGTGACCCTGGGCAAGTCACTTAACCTCCATCTGCCTCAGTTTCCTCCTCTACAAAATGAAGATAATAATAGCACCTACCTCCTAAGTTTCTACAAGAATAATGAGATATTTGTAAAGCACTTTACAAACCTTAAAGCACCATATAAATACAAGCTTTATTTTATTTTTCTTATTGTTATTATTATTATTGAAAGCTGTGATTGGTAAAGCCACAGCAACTCTTAAAGGCCATCTCTCCCAAATTATAGAAGTTATTATTATATTATGTTATATTATGTTATGTTATATTACATTATATTATATCATATGGTTATTATCTTATATCAGTGGAGGGAATACCCAAAAGAACAAAAAGTTAAGTCAACAAGATTCCTTCAGCATATCTACTAGTCACTCAGTATGATCAGAACCATCAGGAACTCTGGCCCTCGCCCAAGTCTCATTAACTGCTACCACTGTACCACTACCACTCCACACAGAGCATTTCTTCCTTACACAGGCCAGAGATAAACAAAGGACTCCACACTCAAGCCAAAAAGTATTCAGGTACAATGGGGGGGGGGCTATCACAGTTAATCTCATAGAAATGACATTTTATAACTGCAAGAGCAATGAATTCAGGTGACCCAGGTTTTTTACCTGCCACTAATTTACCTGTGTGACCATAATCCTTTTCAATAAAGTGAATGAAGGGGGTGATCTGATTATCTTTAAGGTTTCCTTGCAGTCTAGGACTTTCATTTCTTCTTTAATCTCAATCTTGAGGAATCAGGAGCTTCCTGAAAGGTTTCTATTTGTAACTATTTGATATATCAAACACTTATTAAGCACCTACCACTTATTAAACCAACCCCAACACGGTTTTTTGTTTTTGTTTTTTACCAGATAACAATATTCCATTTTCCTAAAAAGATGTGTTTACTTATTCAGAGATTTTCTGAAGTTGCCTAGCAATAACAGCATTAGGAGCCAGAATATTTCTCCAAGGTTCCTAAAAACCCATAAAATGCAATCGCTGGGGCCACCTGGGCTGCCCCTCTGGTTCTCATATACTTAAATCAATTCTTTCAGTAAAAAGAGAATTGGGACAGAAAATGTTTATGGCCCAAAAAAGATCTAAGATAACATTGCTTATCAAAGTGTACAATCCAGCCAATAATTCTGAGTTAGGCACCCAGGAGATAACAAAGAAACTCTCCCTCCCCTCAGGGAGCTCATCTTATCTCTAAGATTCCCTAGAAGCAATCTAGAACACCTGAGCTCCTCAAACTCCTGTGATTACTACATCCAACTGATGCTCACCCACCGGAGATCTGAGTGATAAAAATCAGAGAGTTTTCAAGAGAAAGTTATTTGCCGGTATCTCTGCATTGGCACACCAGAGCCATTTAAACATATACAATCTAGGGATTATGTGTTTTGCATTATCTAGTACTCGTTTGGCCACTTCTTTCACCTTGAATAGGCACAAATCACAGAATATGACAGCTAGAAAGGATTGTAGAGTACATGTAGTTCAACCCCCTTATTTTACAGGAGAGGAACTCAGAGAGGTGAATTCTGCCACTGGCAGGGCTGGGATTCAAACCCAGGTATTCTAATTTTCTGATTCAGAGACAAAAGCTGACTGTATTTACCTCCAGTAACAGTGACAGGCAAATAACTCTACTTAGCTCAGCAAACTCCACTCTGTCCTGAGTTTTCTCAGCATTTATGCAGGAAAAGGGAGGCTTCCCCTGGGACTGGTCTTTGTGGGTAGGGAGGTGGCCTGGTTTTTTAAGGGCTGTGACAGCAAAAAGGGTAAGCCTGGGAGAGGTCTTAGCAAGCTGGAAAGGCTTTGGGTGTGGGCTGGGCAATGTTCTGTATGTCTGTCATCCAAAACCCAGCCCAATCCAGCTTAATAAACACAAAACAAAATGTAGTCATCAGGTGAAGAAGTCTTTTTGGCCAGACCAACTTAGGAAGACCATCTACTAAGATGAGGAGGACCCATTGAAGGGGAAGACCCACCACATCAAAGAAATCATGGATCTCTTTAAATATCAAAGTTACCTAGGTGTGTAGCTACAGTGGCTTGCCTACCTTGCCTGCTGGATGAACTGTGTGGCTTTCTCTGCAAACTTTTCTGCAAGACTTGTGAGGTTCACCGGCTGCTCCACAATGATGAGGTTCTCATACAAAGGAAGGCCCACATCAGAGTAACAGTTTTTCCCAGGGCTGCTGTATAGAAACCACAGACACTCACTTTACTCACTGTAATAAGCAAAGTAATTCTGTAGCCTGGTGGGGAGGAAGCATTTTTTCATCTAGCCATGTAAATAATAGATATTTACCAGTCATGCCTAAAATGTCTAACAGCTTCCCATTCCCTACTCCCCTGGGAAAATACGTTTGCTCATCCTGAGCAAGTGGATTTATTTTCCAAACTGTTCAGATGACTGCTTGAAACACTCATAACTCTTTTCTTCACTAATTTGCTATTTTTGGCCTTGTTTTTATGAATAAATAATCATAGAATCATAGGATGTCAGAGCTGGCAGGGATCTTGGAGACTGTCTGGTCCTACTTCATTTTACATGGGAATAAAATGAGTTCTAGAAAGAGGAAGTGATTTGCCCATGGTCTCACAGTGAGAAAGGAAGGAAGGAAACAGCATTTATTAAGTGTCTATCTGCTTTACAATTATTATCTCATTTGATCCTTACAATCCTATTATTATTATTATCCCCATATTATAGTTGAGAAAACTGTGGCAGTCACAAGTTAAGTGACTCTACATGGTCCCACAGTTAGTAAATATCTGAGGGTAGATTTGGACTCAGGTCTTCTGACTTGAAGACCTGTGCTCTACTTACTATATCAGGGGCAGGGAACCTGCAGGTTGGGCTGCTTCTATCCTTTAGATTATATTTCTTTACTGCTCTCAGATTTACAGACCATTTTCTTGGCAACAATCCTATATGTTAGATGTCCTAACATACATATGCATGCACACATGCACACACACACACACACACACATATATCCCAGCAATGAATTTTGGAACTGAATCTTTCTTTATGAAGGAGACCAAAAAGTCAGCTAGAGTAACCACCATGGAAAAACAGAGAAAATGATGTATGGACTGAATAAACATTCATATTTATAACTTCATTGAGATTCTCTCCCTTCCAGGAACCTTTGTGTAAGGCCTCAGTCAACAGTTTTTTCTGTTTGGCTTCATTATTTGCTGATGGGAGATTAATGGTCATATCAGGTTTGTCTGACGGCTTGGTGTTTATATCAGGTGACACACAGGCTTGGAGCTTGAAAGTTCCTTAGGGCCATTTACAAGGAAAAGTGCATCGTTCAATTCAGCTAGTACTTACTGAGCCCACTTTTATGTCCTAGACTCTGTGCTAGGTGCTGGACATACAAAGGCAAAAATGAAAAAATAGTCCTTGCTTTCAAGGAGCTCATATTCTACTGGGGGGTAGGAGTGGGAAACAACATGTACATAGAAAAATCAGTATCAAAGACAGAAAAAGTAAATACAACGTGTTGGAGGTGGGTGGAGTATGGGGGGGCTCAGGAAAGGAACTAAGGATTTACTGAGCCATGGGGAGAAGACTACACAAACACCTAAAGGTGAAAGATACAGGAAATAGCAAATAGGTCATCTTCACTAGATCACTACAGTGACTCAATTTCCGCAACCTGCCTGACCTCTAAAAATGAGGTAGTGGACTAGATAGATTCCTAAGGTTTCTTCTAACCCTGACATCCTATGATTCTAACCAGGTGGTCAAACATACACACATAATTTTCCAAGTAAAGAAATGTCCCTGTGAAAAGGGAATATTATCACTTTATTTATACTTTTTCACTTAGTATAGAGGCTGAATTTATTTAAGGCATGTCCTATCTGAATACAGATACCCCCTCACCACCTCTTACCCCCCCACCCCAGGTCAACTATAAGCTCCTAGGAAGGAAAAACTATTTTTTTTCCACTTTTGTCTTTGTAGGCCCAGCGTCTAGCCCACTAGCACGGTGTCTGGTACATAAAGATGAGCCCAGTAATTGCTAGTTAAATTGAATTGAGTGAAGCACTTTGTAAACGGTCTAAGAAGGTTTCTGCCCACACCATTATTGTCTGCCTTATCCATTAAGCAGCAAGAGAGTACTTCTGCTTAATTCAGTTTCTATGGACCCACATGCAGACGAGTACCAAACAGTTGCTTTGCATGTTACCTTCGTGATACAGCCGATGCAGGTGGGCAGGCCGGGCAGGGTGGGTGATTGTAGCCAGGGGTGTCGCTACAGCCCATGTCATGGCTATAAGGAATTCCAAAATAGTAACTGAAGCCTGTGGTCAAAGCAATGAGGTCAGCCTCCGGAATCACAGCAGTGTTGCCCTAGCAGCAGTTTTCTCCCACCACCTTCTGATTTTTAATTCCCAGTAATTTAATAGCACAAGGTATGCAATTTAAAAAGGATTTGATTAACATCCCTTTCTCTGTATTCAAAGAAAATTGCTGCCGCTTCTAGCCATAAGCCTCAATCTGCAAACTTGGAAACAGCATTCTGTAAGTAAGGGATTAGCCCACATGTGGAAGAACTGATGAGAAAGAACTTCTGGAGTGCTTGGGCTCCTGGTTCAATCAGACATTAATATCAAGTTATATATAACTTTATTTAGTCACAAAGCAAAATCAAATGATATTCAGATATACTCCTCCACATCTTTTCTCTCCCACACAAGCATTTATTTTGAGGGTATATCTATACACATGAAGAAGCAACATAAGGTGGAAAGGGTATTGGAACTGGAGTCAAAGCATCTGGATTCAAATTCTATATCTATTTGGACAAGGCACTTAATGAACCTCACTGGTCCTCTACCCTCATTTGTAATATGAAAGGTTTAGTCAAGATGACCTCTAAGGTCATATAAATCTTGCTCTAAATCTGTGATGCCATGATCATTCAAAGTTGGTATACCTAGAAGACTTACATAATGCAAACATAATTTCCCAGTTCTCCTCTTGGTTTTGCTTTTGTGTATGGCCAGAGCTTAAATATATACAATAATAATAACAACTCACACTTTTGTAAACTTTAAGGTTTTAATGCTTTACATACATCATTGCATTTGAACTTACAACAACCTTGTGAAGTAGGTGCTACTTCCTATTTTATCAGGAATAATTTGAATAATAATGATTCCCATTTTACAGATGAGTAAGGTGAAGCTCAGAAAGATTAAGTGACTGATCATGGTCAAATAGCTAGTAAATGGATAAAGTGGGATTTGAACCCTGGTCTTCCAGATTCCAAGTCCAGTCCCCTATCTGATATACCAAAAGAGATACTGTTTAAAAGCTGGAGGGTCCTTATAAGTCTAGTCTCAAAAAGCATTTCTAGTCACAAAGTCCTCGGACAGCTTGACAGAGGACTTCCCTACTAGTTTGATGCTGCAGAATTGGATATCCCACAGTTCAGATCATATCCTCAAAATTTAAGTACACTCAGTAAACATTGGCTGCAATACGGTGAGGTTAGCTTGATAAACACGTCATCCAGCACCAGCTTATAACAGGGTTCCACTTTACTGACTAACTCACAATCTAGTGATCTTCCTTCCCACTCTGTTTCTATCCCTAGAGCTGGGGGGGGGAAAGAAACCTCGTTGTTTCTGAATAGGGCTAGCCTGAGGCAATGATGTTAATTCAAGAGGGAAAGTATTTTAGCATTTTTCCAAGCTCACTATTCAGTGCCCTACCCTTCCATACCCTCTTATTCTTACCCTTTACCTCTTTTACTGAGAAGATTGAGGCCATGTGGTATGAATTCAATTCATTTAACATTCATTTAGCACCTATGCTGTTCCAGGTGTTGTATATATAAAAAAAAGAACAGTCCCTCCCCTCAAGAAGCTTATATTCTACTGAGCATTAAAAGCATGTTCACATATAAGCATCCCCTCTGAGACCATTCTCCCAACACTGCACTTGAACTGAAAACTGGGATATCCAGAGGGTCACTTGGCTACTGCTCTGTCTCAGGGTTCCACCAAGTAATCTTAAGCGATTGAATTTCCATTAATGTTGCTACTTGTGTAGCCCCTACTTGTGTGCTTCCCAATGAGTCAGCCAAACTTATATTAGCTTTATAAAAAAGAATGTACTGAGATAGCATGATAAGAAGAGTTACTATAAAAAATTACCTCTCTCCTAACCCCAGCTCCCGCCAGAGGTACACACAGCCTCCCTGAGAAGGGTGGGTACAAACTTAGAAGACAAAGCTAATGAGGCCCACGTGTAGAGGACACATGTGGCGAAGGGTTCATTCACAACTCCTGGTTACTAGAAATCTTCTTCTTGTTTCTCAGTGTTCTCACGGACCCCAGAGGTTACTGAAAGAGTGCAGAGCTACTTTATGGAACCCCTGTTTCAGTTATGACTAGAACTGGACATCCTCTGTGACAGAGTCTGCTGAGCTCCAAGGGCTGGTGCTTTTGTACAGGTTCATAGTCAGCACTTCTTGCTAGGTGAGGTCATGTTCCCTGAAGCTGCCTCTTCCCTCAGATGGCTATCTTTACGCATCTGTTTGTACACGTTTGTCCTTGGTGTGTCTTCCTTCCCTGTTCCTTGTGTCGCTCTCTGTTGTTGGCTGAGTACATTGCCTCCCACTAGTCATCCAGGCTCTGATAACGTGGTTAATAGAGTGAGATGGGTGAAGGAGACAGAGACAGAGAGAAATTCTCTTCTCTCTTCCTCCTAATTGGCTTGGCTCTAATGCTATGATTCACTAATTGATTGACTGACTTGGAACAGGCCTACTGCTTTTATATGTAGTCCAAGAGGTATGACGACCAATCACAAGATGTTTTCTTTATGGGAAAAAAATGGAGGCAACTGGGTGGTGCAGTGCAGGGCCTATGTTCAAATCTAACCTCAGTCACTTACTAATTATGGGACCCCGGTTAAGTCACTTAACTTCTTTCTGCTTCAGCCTCTTCACTGTAAAATCAGGTGAATGATATAATAGCATCTACCTCACAGAAGGCTGTGATAATCAAATGATATTATTTGAAAAGCATTTAACAGCATCTGGCACATAGCAGGCACTTAATAAATGCTGGTTACTTTCACCCCTTATGGTATCCTCTAATTTCCATGCAAAAAGTCCTATGGCCCAAATCCTATGGTCCTTTCTAATGGGTTAAGGGCTTGTCTACACACTGTGATAAGGACACAGGAAAAGTCTTTAATACTTAATATGTTTTGTCAGTTGATCAGTTAATTTAGTTAAACATCAACACTCACATAAATACAATGTAATTTTGGGAGCACTGATAATTAGATGGATCAGGAAAGATACTGCTCAGAAAGTAGGGCTTAAGCTCAACTCTTAAGAGACCTAAGTATTTTACTGGGCCGAGAAAGGAGGGAGAACATTCCATTCGTGGAAACAAAGGAAGGTATGGAGGTTGAAGATAGAATGTTATGAACTTTCTCAACTTTCCTCCTATCTTCCTCTAAATTACTAAATATCCTCACTTCTCATTCCCTCCAGTTTTAGAGGGAAAGGTACTCCTCCTCCATGCCCAAGCTAGCTCCTTCACCTATATCCTCAGTGAAGCTCAGAACTGGAAGAGACAACAGGAGTCATCTCATCCAACTCATACCTAAAACAGGAATCCACTTTATAAAATTATAAGACTACAAGTGGCAATCCAGCCTCCCCTTGAAGACTTTCAGTTATATGGAACTCAATACTTTTTATCCTATCCCCTCCTACTTCCTATGTGAACCTCATCAAACATTCCTTCTCATGAATTTTCTTTCAAAAGGCCAGGCCTATTCAGAAAGGCATACTCCTATTCAGAAACAACTAGTTTTCCTTTTCCCCTAGCTCGAGGGACAGAGAGTGATGCAGTGGGAAGATCACTAGACTGTGAACTACTCAGTAAGACGGAACTCTGTTAAAAACTGGTGTTGGGTGCCATGTTCATCAAGTTAAGCTCATCATGGTACAATCAATGTACCCTGAGTGTACTTATGTTTTGAGGATGTGATCTGAACTAACGGATATCCAAATTCTGTAACAACAAACCATATTATAACAGGGGAGTACTCTATCAAGTTCTCTGAGGTTTTCTGTGATTAGAAATACTTTTTGAGACCAAGATTATAAAGACCCTCCAGCTTTTAAATATTATTTCTTTTGGTACACTGGATAGAGGACTGGACTTAGAATCAGGAAGACATGTCACTTTGCTCTTTCCCCTATATAAATATACTCTTGTCTATCCTTTGGTTCTACTCCCCTTGAGAATGACCATCTTATCTCTCTATCCCCTCACCCCTTCACTGCCAAATTTCTCAAAAGCAGTCTACCCTCACTGCTTCATTATTCATTTACTTGTCAACTTTTCATTCTGACTTCAGTCCCCACCACTTCTTTGTAACGGCTCTAAGAACATTAATAATCTTATCACTAAATCAAATAATCTTTTTCTGTCTTTAGTTTTCTTACTTTCTTTATAACATTTGACACTGCTGACCATACCTTCTACCTTGAAATTCTCTTCTCTTGGCATCAATGATCCTATACTCTTTCTGTATTCTTGCCCTGCCCTCTCTCATCTCTGTTTCTTTATTCATACATTCTCCTATGCTTGGAACAAAGCTCCTCTCTCCATCTCTACCTGTTGAAGTCCCTTGACCCTTCAAGGCAGGAGATTTTGGGTTGCCCTTTACAGAAGGTCTTCAATAAAAGGCTGGTTGGGTATGTTGTTGAGGAGATTCTTGAGAATTCAGGTATAAGTTGGACCATTTGGCTTCTGACTTCTGAGACAGCTCTAAGACCCTGTAATTCTCTATTTTTCTAAGTCAACATTACCATTTCTTCCATGAAGTCCTATCTGTTCCAACCTTACCTAAAAGGGACATCTCCCCCCTCAAATTTCTCATAGCACATTGCTTAAGTCTCTCTTTGGCATTTATCACACTGTATTAGATCATAGTTCTTTATATGTCATTTCCTGTCCCACCTTCATTAAATGACTGGCTCCTTGAGAACAGGGTTGGTGTCATATCAATATCTGTATCCCTAAAAAGTGACTAACACAGTGCCTTGTATATTGGAGGCACTTAGTATGTGGTGGCTGAATTTGGCTGTATTTATTGGAGCTCTAATGTGAAAAAAGGGGGAGAAGGAAGAAGCATACAAGTTTTGGATGTATGAGGGACTTGTGGCTATGATTATCATAGAGAAGAGTGTGCCCACAGATGCCTAAAACAGTAGCAGATGTTTAATAACTTGGCTACGATTGCTGTGGTTAAGGCTCCACATCAATATATATGTTATATATTATCTCTGACACCTATAGCCCTCTCTCCATTCCCACCACCACCACCCTATTGCAGGTTCTCCTGGTCACTCAGTCATACGACTGCAGGTCTTCCTTCATCTACTCTCTCTTCTCTCTAATCCATCTTTCACATTTCTACTAGAGTGAGATAGGAGTCTTTCCTACTCACAGATCTGGTCATGTCATTCCTCTATTAGAGAATATTCATTGGCTCCCTACTATCTTCTAAATAAACTTGTAACATTTGGTGTGGTAGTAGGAATATCTAACAGAGTCTCTCTCTGTACCTCCATACCTGCCATGTGGGATGAGGAAAGTGGGAAGGGAACATTTATTAAGTACCTACTATGTGCTGGCCATAGTGCTAAGTGCTTTACAAATATCTCATTTAATCCTCACAACAACCTTGTGAGGTAGATACTATTACCATGTTTATTTTACAACTGAGGAAACTGAGGCAGGCAGAGGTTAAGTGACTTGCCCAGAGTCACATAACTAGTCACTGTATAAAGACAGATTTAAACTCAGGTCTTCCTGATTCTAGGCCCAGTGCTCTATTCACTACATAACCTACCTGGTTAGTTCTTTTCCTTAAAAGGCATTGAAATGGTCCTTGAGACTTAATTGGTTCAAAAGACTAAGGCCCATGCCACTGATGCAGTTTCCTGGTTGCCTGATTCCAAAGAAAACTATGAGGAGTTCTGGCTGGTCTCTGAAGCTTCTGAAAAGCAGACCCATGCTTCTGACCAGTCCTGGCACTGGAAAGCTGTACTCTACTGAATCAATGCTGAATCCTTGGTAAATATCCTTTCTCTGCTCTAGCTAAGGAAATGTCCCTTTGTCAGTTTTTACATGGACTCTGTATGTTATTTTATTCTAGTCTTGAACTGGAACAATCAGACTGGCTTGGTCAGCCCTGACATACTACGTTTGGCATTGAAGGATCTCTGCAATGTCACAAGATTCAGACATGGAAATAGCCCCAGAGCTCAACACTCCAACCCCCTTGCAGATAGTGAAGTGGGGGAGGCAGGGAGGAGTAGGAAGGATGACCTGCTCAACTAGTAAGGAATAGATCCAAGATGACAGGATCATAGGTTTAGAGGATTTGAACTCAGATCATTCTGTGTTCTTTCCACTTTAGCATCACTTCTATTACTAATTACCCTGTCTTTCTAACCTTATCATCTTGCATGCACATTATACTCTAGTCAAACTGGTTTATTTGTTTTCCAAACATTCTATGAGCTTCATCTATACCTTTGAGCACGATGTCCTCTAAACCTAAAATACATCCCTTTTGTTTGTTGAATTCCTACTCATCTTTTAAATATCACTTCTTCCATGAATATCTCCCTGATCCCCCAGAACTGATAATGCTCTTCTCCCAAAGACCTTCCATAACACTGTCTTGTATTTCTTTAACAAATCTGTCACGGAATACCACATATTATACTTATCTGTATTGTGTCTTTATTGGACTTTAAGTTTCATAGTTCTATTTCTTCTCTAAATTTTCTATCTACTCTACAACAGAGCTCTTCACACAATATTAAAAACTATTAATGAATAGTTTTTGAATGAATGACTATGGGGTAGGAGTATATTGATAGGATGGGTTCAGAGGCAGAAAAAACTAAAGTTAAAGAACTTTCAAATTCACCTAATCTTTTTTTAGTTTTGTTGAAGAAACTGAGGTTTTCAATCTCAGAGAGCTGGATCTAGTGGATTTCCTGCCTCCCCCAACAGACTTTATGGGTAGGGAGACTACACCAATGAAACCAGATGAACCAGGTCACATTTGCCACTTGCCTCAGCTTAGTGACAGAATCAAAAACCAGAATCCAGATATCCTAATTCCCATTCCACTGCTGTGTGGACCACACCACAGTAGGTCATTGTAAAAGATAGATAACAGCAATTAAAAGATGTCATAGAATGCTATCCTGAAACATCATGGAGGTGGGGTAGAGAGTATAGAGAATAAGGGAAGATGAGAAATGAAGGAGTATCCAGCTAAAGACTAAAAAGAGTCCACTAATCTGATTAGAAAGGACATGTACATTGTGTGATCAGCTATGAATAACATAGGTCTTTTCAGCAATACAGTGATCCAAGACAATTTCAAAGGGCTCATGATGGAAAATGTTACACATATCCAGAGAAAGAACTGATGGACTCTGACTACAGATCTGAACATACTATCTTCACTTTATTTTTTGTGTGGTTTATTTTTTTCCTTTTAGTCTGTTTCTTCTTTCCCAATATGACTAACATGGAAATAGGTTTTACATGATTGCACATAAATAACCTATATCAAATTGCTTAGGGAGGGGGGAGGTGAGAGAAGGAGGAAGAAAATTTGGAACTCAAAAGTTTTTTAAATGAATGTTAAAAATTGCCTTTACATATAATTGAGAAAAAATAAAATACTATTTTTTTAAAAGGGCATGTAGAAAGAGCATTGGACTACAATCAGGAAACTTGGATTCTAGTTCTGGCTCTATCATCACCTCTCTGGGCCCCAGTTTCTTCATTTCAATTAATTATTTGTTATTGTAGCATTCCTTCTGGATTACTCCCCCTAACTCACACTCACACTTGCAGGTGGGGTTCTTCGAGGGCAGATGCTACCTCAGGTTCTAGAGTCACCCTATGGGTACCTATTTCTAAAACTGCAGCTCATGACCATCCTCACCCCCACCCAGAGCTTCCTCTTAACAGGCAGGCAGTAAAAACAATTAGCTCAAAGCAAAAGCATTTACTAATATGGCATAGAAAGAACAGTAGAGATAAAACATCCCTACCATAAACCTGGGGTGACACTGTTATAATTACACAAAGCACTTGTGCGAAGAGTGGGCAAAAACTTTGAGTATGATAGCAGTGAGGCACATAGCTAGGGAATATACAAAGCTACGCACTCCACTAGTCCTGTTTATTACTGCGCCTCAAAGTCCTTTTTTTCCTTGTGTGATCCTCTTTGTAGTTCTACAGTCAATGTCCAGAGCCAGCTCTCTAAATTCAAAATCCAACTCTCCTTTTATCTGGTTCTGTCTGGGAAGAGTGTGTGTGTGTGTGTATGTGTGTCTGTGTTTGTGTCTGTGTCTGCTGCCTGGAGTCTCTCAGTGTTTTTCTGAGTAAGTAGCTCTATTGCTAGGCACCATGACTGATAGGTGTAGATGGGAAGAGCTTTTCTTTTTCTCTTACCAAAAGGTGAATAGCTGTGTTCTCCTATAGCTATTAGTTCTCTTCAACTGCCTCAAACTCACTGGACTGTGTTTTATAAAGATCACTTGAGGGGGAGGAGGGAAGAAAGGTGGCCAATGAATATTTGTTTCCTCTTGACTCAGAGAACAAGATATTCAAACTTTGAAAAGGGTTAACAGGGCATTAATACCTCACTAACAAAGTAAAACATCATTATTTATGATTAAATCCTCTAACTGATATCAACTGAACTGGTGGGGAAGTGGGGGAACCAATCTTACCCCCTCTCTTACACTAATAAAATGATACTGAGTTAGATGGCTTCTAAGAGATCTCTTCCAAATCTCAAGACTCAATTCTATGATACTAGGTATTTCTAATGAAAATGTTCGATATAAAGAACAGGGATTCTGAGGAGTCAATAATAATTGCTGACATTTATATACACTGTAAGGTTTGCAAAGAACAGCCCTATGAGGTAGGTTGTTGTTTAGTCATTTTCAATCATATCCAACTCTTTGTGATCCCCTTTAGAGTTTTCTTGGCAAAGATACTGAAGTAGTTTGCCATTTTATTATCCTCATAACAACCCTATGAGGTAAATACTAGGGGTAATATCATCCCCTCATGTAAAATGTAAAAAAAACAAGGAAATGGAGGCTCAGGGAGGTTAAAGCAACATAGTCACACAGCTAAGTCATTATCAGAGGCAGGATTTGAACCCATGTCTTCCTGAAACCAAGTTCAGCACTCTATTCACTCTACTATGAGGCCAAATAATATAATCACTGGAGGGAAAGGGGTCAAAGAGCCCTTGAAAGAAATAAAAAACAACACTAGATACTGAATGACTAGTTAATTTAATGTAGTTGCCTTGAAAATGTCATACATGTTAGCTATAAAATAAAAGGACTGCACTAAATTTCTAACTTGCCACCTCTAAAATCTATGCATCTTTAATCACATAGTTAAAACCATGAGAGGGGAATAAACACTTCTGAAACACCATAATAGAAAAGTCATGAGGACAGAAGAGAGCTAAAAGGAAGTTTTTTTGGGAATAAAGTCTAAGTGAAAGTGACCTGAAGCCATATAGCAGTAGGAGGGTCCCTGTACAATGAAATGAGGCTGCTAATGAACTGTGAGATTAAGTCACAGGAAAAAAAAAACACAACAGTGAATTCTCTAGTAGAAAGCAGGAAAGTGATTTCAAAAGACATTGTATCTCATTTTCATAGAGCTATTTTTCCCCTCAAATAACAAATGCCCTCCCTACCCCCTTCCAAGAATCCTTACCACGGAAATTAGGTTGGTAGAGGCCATGGTGTCCAAGATGCCACTTGCCTGTTGGGAAACAAGAAAGAAGGTGATCAGCATGATTCCCTGTTCACAATCTCACTTCATTTAGAGAGCTGAGGAAACAGACCGTCCTCCATTAGCTTTTCATTTAAGAAATGGGAACCAAAAGGTACTAAAAGGAGCTGTGCCAAGCAAGTCCTTCCCCCTAAGGAACACAAGCCAGTGTCTACTGGGAGACAAGAATAAGAGTCACAACTAAACAAATAGGAAGCGGAATGGAGAAAGGAAGGCCAGCTACTGGGAAACCTAAAGAATTCAGGGAACTGAAAAGGCTGCCACTGCCCTCCCTACAGGGATCCCTAGGATTCTGAGGAACAGAGGAATAAGCTCATTGTCCATCCCTTCCTCCTCCCCTTCCCTTCTCCCCTGTGGCATTAAATTGATATAAATTACTGAAGAGAGAATAGATTTCCACACACTCTGTATCAGGGACACCTGCATTCTTGCCTGCCTCACCATTCTCCCCTTTTGCCATACGTTGAATATGGCTAAAGTGAAAAGACAAAGAAAGAGCAAAAATAATAAGTCCACAGGGGTATTTCCTTCACACCTGCCATCCCCGAACTGCAAAGTGCTTTGGAATTCTCATGGTCTAAACAGAGAGTTGGGAACATGAAACTGAGGACAGAGCAGGCCAGGGGTGGGGAACCTGCAGCCTCAAAGACACATGTAGCCTTCTAGGTCCTCAAGTGTGGCCCTTTGACTGAACCAAACTTCACAGAATAAATCCCCTTAATAAAAGGATTTGTTCTGTAAAACTTGGACTCTGTCAAAAGGCTGCACTTGAGGACCGAGAGGGCCACATGTGTCTTTGAGGCTGCAGGTTCCCCACCCCTGGACTAGGCCCTGGAGGGAGACTGAAGTAGAAGGATTTTTCTGGTCTGACACAATGAAATAAATAGTACACTTCAGCTTAATTTCCTTCAAAATTATTCCATGGTAAACTGGAAGGGTCCTTTTACTAGAGGTAGGTAGGGTTATTTTGAGGAGTACATCCTGCTCCATTTCAAAGCAAAGTAGATGTCTAGTTTACCAGAGGAAACTTAAAGATAGCAAACAATGCACCCAGCATGAAGACTCAAAAGTATCTGGTTTTGTTGGAATAATCTCTCTGTCCATGAAGTCTGCTTAGGGGGACAACAGGAAACCTACTGGATCTGGCTCTCTGAGATTGAAAGCACCAGTTTCCCTAAAAGCGCATGTACTCTGATGATGCTGTTGAGATTTTCATATTTTAAGAGAGGTGAAAAAGGAAAGGAGAAGAAGAAAAATTGTCAGACTCGAAACTCCATTAAATCCATTTTACTTACAAAAGTAAAACAAGGCAGAATGAAACTTGCATGAGCTAGAGACAGATTGAGGAGGGACAGGAAGGGAAGAAGGGAACAGGCATTTATTACACACCTACCATGTGCTAGGCACTGTGTTAAACACTTTAAAATATTATCTCTTTTGATCCTCAAAACAACCTTTGAAGTGGTACTATTATTATCATCATTTTACAGCAGAGGAAACTGAGGCAGTCAGAGGTTAAGTGACTGGACCAGGACCACATAGCCAGTAAGTGTCTGAGGCTATATTTGAAATCAAGTTTTCCTGAGTCTAAGCTTAGGGCTTTACCTGCTATCCCACCTAGCTGCCAAGATGACAGTGGCAGCCTCATACAGAAAATGCAGAGGGACATTAGCATGCCAACTTTTAATTCAATTCAACAGGCAATTTTTAAGTGTCTATTATGTGTCAAGTACTCAAGACACAAAGGCAAAAATGAAACAGTCCTGGCCCTCAAGAGTCTCCTGAGAAAATACAAAGTATATGAAAAGTAATATAGCCCAGGGTACCTGAGCAGTACAGTGGATAGAGTGTGCCTAGCCTGGAGTCAGAAAGACTCATCTATCTGAGTTCAAATCTGGCCTCAGACACTTCCTAGCTGTATGATCCTGGGCAAGTCACTTAATCCTCTCTGCCTCAGTTTCCTCATCTGTAAAATGAACTGGAAAAGGAAATGGCAAACCACGCCAGTATCTCTGCCAAGAAAACCCCAATGGGGTCACGAAGAGTTGGATACAACTGAACAATAACAACAACATATGCAGCCTAATTTTAAGAGGGAGAGAGCCCTAAGAACTCAGATGATCAGGAAAGGCTTTTTAAAGGAGATGGCAAGTTGAACTATGCTTTGAGGTAAACAGTGAATTCTATGAGGCAGAGGTGAGGAGGGAGAGAGTTCATTCTAGAAGTGAAACTTGTAGTATTACCTATCATTCCTGTGATGTAACCAGCCTCTTGGAGCACTTGGGCTAAGGTGGTCTCATTAAGTGGCAGGCCTCCCACTGAGCTGATGGCAAAGTTGTGTGTAACTCCATTTCGCACCCCGAGCCTTCCAGTAAGCAGGCTGGCCCGGGACGGGGAGCAGGTAGAGGCCGGAGCATGAAAATCCACAAACCTGGAAGGAAAGAAACTATGGGAAGAAACTACAAAACATGGAATGAATGCAAAAAAAAAAAGGAAATTCATTTCAGAGAATTATAGAGCTGGAAAGAACCTTACAAATCATTTAGTCCAACTGCCTCACTTGACAAGAACCCAGAGACAAAGGGCAGGGCCACTGGGGCTTGGCTCCAGCACAGCAAAATTTAGAAGGTACTGATAGCCCCTACATTTTCTAACAGTGGTAGAAACAACCTGGCTTGGCACCTAGTTAGCAATAATAATTTGTAACAATAGGAAGCTACTTCTCTCTTCCCCCCAGCAGGAGTATTCCCACAAATAGTTCTTAAAGTGTCCAGGGGTTTCTGTTTCCCGTCTTACAGGACAATGGCCTGGGGTCTCACCTCCTAGCATTCCGTGCAGTCTTCTCCTCACCTTGTCATTGAACTTCTGGAGAGCTGGGACCATGTCATTTCCCATCTTTGAATTCCCAGTACCTAACACACAATACCTCGTGCATAATGCTTAATAGATATGTGTTGAATGAATGACTGGTCCACAAACAATCCTCAATTAGGCACGTAAATGAGAACATGATGTAGTGGAAAGAATACTGCATTTGGAGATGAAAGAGTTCAGTACAAATTTGGATGGACTTCTTCTCCAAGTGACCTTGGCTAAATCACTTCACTTGTCTGGGTCTGTGTTTCTTCATGTGCAAAAATAAAGCTGTTGGCCTATATGCTCCCTATCATCCCTACCAGTTTTGACATTCTATGAGATAGAAACCTTTCAATCAATGAATTTCACATCCTTCCCTTTCAGAAGTTGTGATTACATTGCTAAATGAACCAATGTGAATTTCCCCTCTTCTTAGCCCATCTTAGATGGGGGAGGCAAGTAATGAAGCAACAAAGAGGCTTTATTATTTGGAAAATGTTCTTTTCCAGGTCAACCTGGGCAGGCTCTGACCAACTGAAAGAACAAAGGCTTTAATTAAAGACTGAAAACAGAATGTAAAACAAGACAAAAATATCAAGCCAGATATTATAGCAGAACAGATAACTGAAACAGAAAAAAAATAGATAAAATGCACATTAAAACATAGACAGACACTAACCAAAGTAATCTAGCACTGAATAAATTAAATATATTAGACTTACAGCACTTCAGTGCTAGAAGTGACCATATCAACAAGGTAAGTAAGACCCTTCCAATGCAGATCATTGCTAAGTTAAAGAGGTCCAGTCTCTGTTTCCAAGAGATTTAAAATAGAAAAGGGGAATTTTGAGGTTGTCTTTTAAATTATTAGAGGTCACTGGAATGAAAACCTCTCTTATGCTATCACATATTTTGAGGCCTCAAAGGGGAAATTTTTTTAAAATCGTTTCCTTTTCCCATCTACTTTACTAATAGGCAGTTCTAGTAGTATATTACAAAAGGAGCAGAGAAAAGCCCCCAGGTCAGCTATACTGATTGGTATGTGAGTTGAAACTGCACCAGATATAACCTACAAGATCTAGCTAGCTCCAGACCATGCTTCACAACTCATCCTGGTTCCCACCAAGAAACCAGGGACTACTGAGTATAGGCCTCTCACCATCTGACCAGAAACTTATGCATACCTTCCCTTTCTACTCCATGCCCTCCCCTCCACCTCTAGCTCCAGAAACAGTAATCAAAGCAATACAAGCATTGCTACTGGAAGGGAGGAGGAGGTTCACTCATTTTTCACTTCTGTACAAATCTTCGTGACTCCATTTGCGGTTTTCTTGGCAAAGATACTGGAGTGGTTTGCCATTTCCTTCTTCAGTTCATTTTACAGATACAGAACTGAGGCAAACAGGGTTAAATGACTTGTCCAGGGTCACACAGTGACTAAGTGTCTGAGGCCAGATTTGAATTCAGGAAGATGAATCTTCCTAACTCCAGGCCCTGCACTCTGTCCACTGTGCCACCTAGCTGCCCTCTTTGATACTGGAAAGGGTGTGACAACTAACTGCCTTCTAGTTCCATTCACCATCACTGTGACTCCCCAGACCAAAACTCTCTTCCCAGCCTGCCTCATGCCCTGTATGTCTTTTATATGCCCAGTTACAGTATAAGTTTCTGGAGGGCTAAGACTATCTTAATTCTGTTATTTGTATCTAGTGTCTGGTATATAGTAGGTGCTCAATAAATGTTTATTTTTCATTCCTTACAGTGTCTGAAATTTCATCCTTAAAATTTTAATCTTTAGAATTTTCCTTTAAAATGAAAATACTCCAGGAAGGAATATGCATGAAACTCATCTATTAATTCAGTAAATATTTATAAAGCCTGGAGTCTCCACCATGTACAAAGAACTGATGAATAAGAGATGCTTTTTGTTCTCAAGAAGTTTATAATTGACAAGATAAAATGTTAATGTATAGTACCTTATTTGATCACAATAAAGCTGTGAGATAGGTAGTATGTCATTATTATTTCCATTTTACAAATAAGAAAAATGAGATTTGGAAGTTTAACGGCCCGTACAAGGTCATACAGCTAGTACACAGGACTTGAACTGAGGTGTTTTGATACCATTTCCACTGTCTAGTTAACTACACTGACTCTCAAATCATACAAGCTTTAAAGGATGTTTTCTTTCTAAAAAGAGGAGCAGACACCTAAAATAATTGGTCAAGAGCAGGAAAAAGACTCAGAAAGAGGCAGTAAAAGGTGCCAGTGTTGGCCTCCTTCTTATATTTTCCTGGGACTAGTCGTGTTCTTTATACTCTGAAATCATTTCAATGCTATCCATTGTGTTCACCTAAAAACAGTGTGCTTGGTATGCTTCTTCTCAAATTCCTTTTTACTATTTATATTATCACCTTAATTTTTAAATTTGAAATTTTTACTGATATTTCTTATTTTTATATAACCTTAATACCCAAATTTACTCTCCCCCTTTCCCCAGCAAACCATCTCTTATAATAAAGGAAAAAGAAAGAAAAAAATTTTCAATTAAAATTAAACAACACATCAACTGACCATGACAGTACATGCAATATTTGACATGTACAGCAAAGAAAGGAGGGGGGAATATTTTTCCATTCTTTGGAGACAGACTTGGTCATTATAACTGCACCCCAAAATCTGAGGGTTTTGTTGTTGTTCTTCTTCTTTCCATTTTACATTGTTGTAGTAATTGCATATAAAGTTTTCTGGTTCTACTTCCTTCACTCTGCTCATCAGTCAGTTCAGGTCTTCCCATGATTTTCTGAATTCTTCATATTTTTCTTTTTTTATAGTACAGTAATATTTTGTTACGTTGAAGTACAATTTTTGAACTATTCCCCAGTCAATGGGCATCTACTCTGTTTTTAGTTCTTTGTTTCCACAAAAAGGACTTTGTTTTGGAGTTTATAGCAACTTTCTGGCTTTCACCTCATTAGGTTACATCCCAGGGTCAAAGAACATAAACATTTTATTCACTATTTTAAAAATATAATTCCTGGCTACTTTTCAGAATGATTAGGCCAATTCACAACTCCATCCATGATGTATTTTTCAATCAATCAATAAGTATTTTTTTAGCACCTTCTTTGTGCCAGGCACTAAGTATACAAAAGCAAAAATCAAATGGTTCTTGCTTTATTTATATTCTGTCAAGTATGACAGAATACAAGTGCATAGAATATAGTACATAGATGTATTTATATTTATATATTTATATATAATATATTTGATATTATATGTAATACATAACTTACATACATAAGCATATACATAACTTACACAAAATGAATAAAAAGGAAGTTTTGGGAAGGAGGGCATTAGCAGCTCTGTGGATTAAGAAAGGCTTCAAGGGGCAGCTAGGTGGTGCAGTGGATAAAGCAATGGCCCTGGAGTCAGGAGGGCTTGAGTTCAAATGCGGCCTTGGACACTTGACACTTACTAGCTGTGTGACCCTGGGCAAGTCACTTAACCCCATTGCCTAGCAAAAAAACAAACAAACAAACAAACAAAAAAAGGCTTCAAAAGGTAGCACTTGAGCTGGCTGACTGGAAAGAAGGTGGTGCTAGCATTTATGTAATGCTTTAAGGTTTGCAAAGTGCTTTACAAACATTATTTCATTTTATCTTCACGACATCCCTGGGAGGTAGATAATATTCTTAACCCCAGAATATAGATGAGGAAACCGAGGCAGATGGAGGTTGTACCTTGCTGAAGTAGCTCCCAACAGGGAAGTTAGGAAGAAGGGTAGATTGAAATGAAGGATGAGTTTTGTTTTGGCCATGTTGACTTTGAAGTTCCTATAGGAAATCTGGTTCAAAACAATAATTAGACAGTGATGTAGGAGAAATAATTAGGGTGAAGGGAAGTGAATAAGCATTTATTTAGCACCTGCTATGTGCCAGGCATAAGCATCTCCTCTGATTTTATGAGGACTGATTACATAAATCTGAAAGTCAGCTGCATAGAAATGATAGCTAAACCCATGGGAGCTGATGAGGTCAACCAAGACAGAAAATGTTGAGAAAAAAGAGAGTCAAAGACAGACTCTTCAAGACACCACAGTCAGTGAGCAGGACACAGATTTTTCAGCAAAGGAGACTGACAATGAATGTCTTAAGTTGTCTTTCATTTCATTAGCCAGTCCCTTATTATGACTACCATCATTAACCTCATGGTTTAAGGTGCTACAGAAGCTAAGTGATGGATGAAGTCTGTACTACTGTTGCTGTTGTTAGTTTTACTTATTGTGTACTGTATCTAGAAGTAAAACGCCATTTTGAGTAGAAGAAACTTTTGCACTTAGTCTATTGTAATTCCTTTTTCTGGCATGTTCAATTGATAGTTTTCTCTGAAGCACTGTCACATGTAGTTTTGCAAATGTGCTTATCAAAAGTCCCACAAGATTTTTTTTCATTTTCTTCTAATTTTTGTAAAGGTTTTGCTCTACCCCCCACTAACTCAAATAATAGAAGTCTCTGCCAAAGTCAGTATTTATTAGTGTCCAAGCTGAGCAGACAGTTCACCCTGAGAGAA